ACAAAGACACGTTGAAAAGAAGGGCACCATCAAAGAAGCGTAGAGTCCAACACCTGCAACATTGATGAAGAATGCTACCACAGCTGCTTTCGAGAAAGTGGGGCTGAAAGACAAAGAAGAATACCATTAGGCATTAGCTTAAGAGGGTGTTCAAAAACTCTCATTCGCTTCAAGAATGAGAATGTAACGCCCCACTTTTATTTGCCGAAAATCAGAATAAATTTTTCAAAATTTATTTCAAAACACTTTGAAGCGCTACTCATTTTCAAAACATTCATCAATACTTAACCACAATATCAATATTCAATCCATCATCAATCCTCATTTATCAATAATAACATCTCAATGATCAATTATATCCTAGGGAGTACACTCCCTATCAATATTCCATCATTCAATAACCAAGAAAAACAATAATAACAATATCAGTTTTCAAAAGCGGAAGCAATATCAATAATAAGACCACCACTCGCATCCCTCCGCCGTGCCCGCAATACTAACCTGCATCCATGAAGAGCAGGTGGGGATGAGCACAATTGGAACCCGTGGTGCTCACCACTATGCAGTAAATGTTAATCTCAATAATCAATGATGTTCAATAACCAAAAGGTATGGTCTCAGCATGTATACGAAACAATAAACTATCCCATTCTCCCATTAATAATCACAATAATCAGACTCATGTGCACACCTACGCATAGACTACTGCTGATACTCGATTCGAACGCCAAGACCTACGAATTGGTCTTACAACGATGCCCAGCCAGTAGGAGTAAACCACCCCGCCGGCCAAAACCTACGAATTGGTCTTACAATCGGGGATCACCAGCCAGAACCTACGCCCTGGTCTTACGGCTCACAAGGGAGACTACCCAACGGGTACGTTCTATAACTACGGGGATAACCGTTCGGTGGCCGATACAGCTCACACCGAAGGCTACATGATTCACATGCATACTTTGATCATACCATAATTAAAACAGTAATAACATTTAAAGCATAGTAATTTTACAATTACAACCCACCTGGTATCGGTTGATAAAGCAATTAGTCAGAAGGTCGTAGGTGGTCGAGACACTGCTCTTCAGACACCTACATAAGTCAAGACAGTCCCATAAGCAACTATCTCGACTCTTGCACAGATAACGAGAATTATGCTTAGTCGAATAACATCGACTAAGGAATTCGTGGAAGTTGTGGAGTTGGAATATTAGGACGACTCCTAGACTCGACCAATTAATTACCAAATCAATTAATAGATCACATAAAAGCAGGCAATAAATGTTCGACACAAAATGGGTCAAAACGGTTAAAAAGCTAGTTCGAATTTTATAAGAATAGGGCTAAGGGGAGTTGGACTTGGTTATTTCAATTCAAATTTTTACTGAGTGTTAAGGGCTGAAAAATACATATTTTCACCAAAGGAAAACCATTTAACATGCTCCTAACTATTTTAAATATTTTACTCAAAATCTGACCAGAAATCAAATTAAATCATTTAAAATAGCTACAGCTCGAATTTAAATCTCAAATTTTTACAGCAGCAAGATAAACTGGAGAAAAACAACATATTCAAAAATTAGCAAAATCGGACAGGAACTCGATTTTATATGAATTTATTACGAAACAGCCCAGAATTAGTTTTCAAGTTTTGACAAGGCTACAGGCCATATAAAATTCCCAAATTTTAACCACAAGTACTAAAATTGCAACATTACAACATATCCAAAAATCATAATTTTTGGACAAACACACGATTTATAGTGATTTTAACAAAAACCGGCTGCAACACGTTTTTCAAAAATTCATAACTAATTCAATACACATCGAAACGACGCGAGGCCAAAGGCGTTGCGTCAAGGACGATCCTAAGTCCAATAATCCACAGCACTTCCACATAAAATACTACTCGAAACTCAGTTCGATAATTTCAAAGTGACGGCAATCACTTTGATATCCAAATATCAAATATATATATCAATAATTCACCCAAATTCATTTCTATGGCACGATTTAATACGAATATCTCACGTTCAGCAAATAACGCATAAGTACGAGCACTTAAACACATATAGGAGCGAAAAATAAGTCGAGGGTTAGCCCGGGTATCGTTCTCGGGATGGGGTACGGAAAACAAGAGACGAAGTATCAAACGGGCTCGCTAATGGGATCACGGGACCTCCGGGACTGCAGCAATCGAGCTCGGGACGCTTCGAACAGCAGCAATACACGAACAAGGTTGCTGCAAGCGGGCTGATCGACGTCGACGGCACACGGTGACGATGGTAGACTCTCGCCGGGACAACGGTACGCGAGTAGCGAAAGGAACGCGGCTTGCTGATGGGGTAGCGAGCTCACCGAGACCGCAGCGGGAGGTCGGGACTCGTCGGGAGTTGCTGGTCCACGCCGGAGAAGGTGCAGCGGTGCTTAAAAGTCGTTCACGGAGGTTCGACGGTGATGGTTAAAGAGGATGGGACCCGCTGTTGTACCTGGTCTCTTCTCATGGGCAGAGTACAGCCGTAAAGAGTTGTTACTGACGGGAAAAGGTGCAGGCGCCACCCACTGCTTGTTGCAACTCGGCCAAGAGTGGCGACAATGGCGGCTCGGCGTCCGGAACTCGTCGGCTTCGTTTAATGCTCCGACGGAACTCGACGGAACTCAACGATCACGATAGGCTCTTCGACGGAACTCGACGGGTCCCGAAAGCCGAAGTTGAATGTTGACGGAGGAGGAGATGTGGCCGCTGGCTGCTCCGGTGAGGGTCGATGATGATGATGATGGAAGATGGTCGATGATGATGACGATGGTGACGAACAGCAAAGAGGGACTCGTCGGTGGTGGAGCCTTGCGAGCAGTGGCAGCGATTGAGGAAGCAGATGGTGATCGAGGTCTGCTGCTTGCCGGTAGGTCGCGCGATGATGGTGGCCGGCGTTGTGCTTCTCGTCGACCTGCTGTGAAGGTTACAACGGGAGGGATGAGAAGAGGGCGATGGGCGAGGGAGTTCTGCTCGGTATATGGGCGATGAAAATCTGAGAGATGAGAGAAACGAGAGTAGGGAAGGATCGATGGAGAGTGATGGAGAGAGAGCTTGATGTCTGCGCAAAGGCATCGAAAAAAGTAGGGTAAATAATCTTACTCTCCAAGCATTAAAAGAGGCGGGTCACAGGGCCTGGGTTCGGATTCGGGGCCGGGATTTGGGTCTCTCGGGCTCGATACTTAGCAATATAAATGCTCGGTTTCGGTCTCTCGGGCTCAATAAATAATTGTTCGGGCTCGGATCATCGCACGATAATTTAAAATAATAACTGGATCCATATATATATATAGTACACATAATAATATTATTATCAATACACATTAATCACATAAAATAAATTTAGGCAAATAGACAATTAATGACCTTGAGGCAATTAATAATAAAAATAAATAATTATAATCCAAGCAATAATAAATTAAATAATAATAATTAAAATAATAATAATAATAATAATAATAAAATAATAATAATAATAATAATAATAATAATAATAATAATAATAATAATAAAGATAACAAATAAGACACCCAATTACTCCTTATTCAAACGGATTATAGACTGGTCACACGATTAAACCGAATCGCCTACGACGAACGTTTTAAAAATAAAACGATCAAGTACCCCGATCGCGACTAATAAAATAAATATAACCTTTTAAATAATATTCGATAAATAGAATATTCCGAGAATTTCTACAAATCGAACGGGGCGTTACAGAGAAGCATAATGTACCAAAAATATTTGGTTTTTACCTAGTCCGCAACAAGCAAATGGAATCATTCACACAAGGCGGAGTCTTGAAAAGACTCGACTCTTTCGAGGGACCTTTTTCCAAAAGACGACCGTTTTCTGAGGCTTTCGTGCAAATGCCATTGGACTCAGGAAGAAACACTCGCATATAGAGCAGTGCACTAACCGAAATCGCAGCAGCAACCTATATAGAGATTAAATTCTTTTACAAAGTTTTCTTGTATACTATAAAAATTTGTATATAACAAAGTGGATGGAAAGTAGGAAAAAATACTTGAAATGTGGCTGAAGTAGATAGAAAACGAGTCGAGAAATTCCCAAATACGAAAGAAGAAGACGCAAAGCTCGACATGATCCCGAAAACAGAAGCCCGTTTGCCCTCTGGAACATTATCTGCCTATGAATTTTGTTAAAAAGAAAAACAAGAAAAAAAAAAGGATTATTGTGTAGAGTAACTTATTTAGCTAAGATGGTTTTGTAGCTTAGAAAATATGGTGATGCTGAAATTTGCTAGAGAAAAGGAATGTCAAAATTGATAAGGTCATATATCTATATCTATATCTATATCTATACTACTTTAAAAGTAGGAGTGTTTTTGTAAAAATTCATAATGCCAAAAAAACCCTTACTTTGACATAAATTTAATGGCAAATTAATAATACACTAATACACATCATATTTTATTTATATTTTTAATTAAAAAATGAACTACCTAAAAAACCCTTACTTTCACATGTTTTGGAAAAATTGCACCATTGGTCCACTAACTTTCACCTAGTTGCACTTTCGTCCTTTATTTGTTTCCAGTTTATAAATGGTACACTAACTTTTTTTTTTGGCAGCGTTGGTCCAAAATCACATTCCGGTGATCTTTTTGCTGATGTGGCTCCCGGAACAGCTGATGTGGCGCTTAGTCATCCCCAAATTCCTCGTCACCTCCTGACGTGTCCGGGAGCCACATCAGCAAAATGTCACCGGAATGTGATTTTGGACCAACGCTGCCAAAAAAAAAAGTTAGTGTACCATTTATAAACCGGAAACAAATAAAGGACGAAAGTGCAACTTGGTGAAAGTTAGTGGACCAATGGTGCAATTTTTCCCACATGTTTTTAATGGCAAATTAGTAATATACTAATGTCATCATATCTTATATCCTCCCTATATATAATTAAAAAAACATAACTTTTCCCAATTCAACATAAGCAAATCAATGAAAATAATATATTTTTAAAAATTTTATGAACAAAAGTTGACTCGACAATATTATTAATGAATTATGATATTTAATTAAAATATTAATTAAAAAATTGTAATTATATATAATATAATATAGAATATACAAATATTTGATATATAATGAGGCAGATGATCGAAAAAATTCTATACTTTATATTATGTCTTTTTTGATAAATTTACAGTTAAGAACATGTGAAAGAACAAGATTATAAAGTATTAAAAAAATATTAAATATAAGAAATAATATGAATAATAAATAAGTTGTGACATGTACTAATAAATATAAAAGAAACTAATAAACAAAAATAATATAATTAATACAACTAAATATAAAGCTTCTAAAAATACACTTATCGATGTAATCGAACTGAGTTGTTAAAAGCTTGTTAGTTTTTTGTTCTAATTAATTTATGTGTAAATTTGAGGTGATAGACAAGAGTTATTTGTACATTTATACATGTAGATTAGAAAAAAAAACTTTATTATTCTAATTTTAAATAACTTTTTTATTTATTAATATATAAGTATCATATTGAACAAATAAAATAAGAAATATTTTAATTATATAATATTTAATATGTAAGAAATGTAACTCAATTGGTAAATTAATAGGTAATCTTGGGATAAATTAATGAGTGATTTCTGAAAAAAAAAATATTGGAACTAAAAAGTTCACGTGTTTAATATATTTTTAATAGAAAAAATGTAAACACAGATATTCAATAAATACTACATAAAAAATATAAGAAATCTTATATCCTCCTTATATATAATTAAAAAACATAACTTTTTTCAATTCAACATAAGCAAATCAATGAAAATAATATATTTTTATAAATTTTATAAACAAAAATTGACTCGACAATATTATTAATGAATTTATGAATTGTAAATATTAAATTAAATTATTAATTAAAAAATTTTAATTAAATATAATATAATATAGGATATACAAATATTTGATATATAATGAGGCAGATGATCGAAAAAATTTTATACTTTATATTATGTGTTTTTTGACAAATCTACATTTAAGACCATGTGAAAGAACAAGATAAAGTTTTAAAAAAATAGTAAATAAAAGAAATAATATGAAAAATAACTAATTTGTGACACGTACTAATAAATATAAAACAAACTAATAAACAAAAATAATATAATTAATATAACTAAATATAAACATTCTAAAAATATACTTATCGGTGTAATCGAACTGATTTGATAAACGCTTGTTAGTTTTTTGTTCTAATTAATTTTATGTGTAAATTTGAGGTGATAGACAATAGTTTATTGATACATTTATACATGTAGATTAGAAAAAAAATCTTTATTATTCTAATTTTAAATAACTTTTTTATTTACTATATTAGTTTTTTTAATATAATATATAAGTATCATATTAAACAGATAAAACAAGAAAAATTTTAATTATATAATATTTAATATGTAAGAAATGTAACTCAATTGGTAAATTAATAGGTAATCTTGGGATAAATTAATGAGTGATTTCTGAAAAAAAAAAATTATAGGAACTAAAAGTTCACGTGTTTAATATATTTTTAATAGAAAAAATGTAAACATAGTTATTCAATAAAACTACATAAAAAATATAAGAAATCTTATATCCTCCTTATATATAATTAAAAAACATAACTTTTTTCAATTCAACATAAGCAAATCAATGAAAATAATATATTTTTAAAAATTTTATAAACAAAAGTTGACTCAATAATATTATTAATGAATTTATGAATTGTAAATATTTAATTGAATTATTAATTAAAAAATTATAGTTACATATAATATAATATAGGATATACAAATATTTGATATATAATGAGGCAGATGATCGAAAAAATTCTACACTTTATATTATGTTTTTTTTTTTTGACAAATCTACAGTTAAGAACATGCGAAAGAACAAGATAAAGTTTTAAAAAAATACTAAATATAAGAAATAATATGAAAAATTACTAAGTTGTGACACGTACCAATAAATATAAAACAAACTAATAAACAAAAATAATATAATTAATATAACTAAATAAAAACCTTCTAAAAATATACTTAACGGTGTAATCGAACTGAGTTGTGAAATGCTTGTTTGTTTTTTGTTCTTACTAATTTTATATGTAAATTTGAGGTGATAGACAATAGTTATTTGTACATTTATACATATAGATTAGAAAAAAATCTTTATTATTCTAATTTTAAATAACTTTTTTATTTACTATATTAGTTTTCTTAATATAATATATAAGTATCATATTGGACAGATAAAACAAGAAATATTTTAATTATATAATATTTAATATGTAAGAATTGTAACTCAATTGGTAAATTAATAGGTAATCTGAGAAAAAATAATGAGTGATTTATGAAAAAAAATTATAGGAACTAAAAAGTTCACGTGTTTAATATATTTTTAATAGAAAAATTGTAAGCACAATTACTCAATAAATACTACATAAAAAAATATAAGAAATCCTATATCCTCCCTATATGTAATTAAAAAACATAGCTTTTCTCAATTCAACATAAGCAAATCAATGAAAATAGTATATTTTTAAAAATTTTATGAACAAAAGTTGACTCGACAATATTATTAATGAATTTATGAATTGTAAATATTTAATTAAAAAATTAATTAAATAACTGTACTTAAATATAATATAATATAGAATATACAAATATTTGATATATAATGCAGATGATCGAAAAAATTCTATAATTTATATTATATCTTTTTTGACAAATCTACAGTTAAGAACATGTGAAAGAACAAGATAAAGGTTTTAAAAAATATTAAATATAAGAAATAATATGAATAATAACTAAGTTGTGACACGTACTAATAAATATAAAAGAAACTAATAAACTAAAATAATATAATTAATATAACTAAATATAAACCTTCTAAAAATATACTTATCGATGTAATCGAACCGAATTGTTAAACGCTTGTTAGTTTTTTGTTCTAATTATTTTTATGTGTAAATTTGAGGTGATAGAAGTTATTTGTACATTTATACATGTAGATTAGAAAAAAAAATCTTTATTATTCTAATTTAAAATAACTTTTTTATTTTCTATATTAGTTTTTTTAATATAATATATAAGTATCTTATTGAACAGATAAAACAAGAAATATTTTAATTATATAATATTTAATATGTAAGAACTGTAACTCAATTGGTAAATTAATAGGTAATCTTGAGATAAATTAATGAGTGATTTCTGAAAAAAAAAATTATAGGAACTAAAAAGTTCACGTATTTAATATATTTTTCAAAGAAAAATTGTAAAGACAATTATTCAATAAATAATATATAAAAAATATAAGACATCTTATATCCTCCCTATATATAATTAAAAAACATAACTTTTTTCAATTCAACATAAGCAAATCAATTAAAATAATATATTTTTAAAAATTTTATAAACAAAAGTTGACTCGACAATATTATTAATGAATTTGTGAATTGTAAATATTTGATTAAATTATTAATTAAAAAATTATTATTAAATATAATATAATAAAGGATATACAAATATTTGATATATAATGAGGCAGATGATCAAAAAAATTCTATACTTTATATTATGTGTTTTTTGACAAATCTACAGTTAAAACATGTGAAAGAACAAGATAAAGTTTTATAAAATATTAAATATAAGAAATAATATGAAAAATAACTAAGTTGTGACACGTACTAATAAATATAAAAGAAACTAATAAACAAAAATAATATAATTATTATAACTAAATATAAACCTTCTAAAAATATACTTATCGATGTAATCGAACTGAGTTGTTAAACGCTTATTAGATTTTTGTTCTTATTAATTTTATGTGTAAATTTGAAGTAATAGATAATAGTTATTTGTACATTTATACATATAGATTAGAAAAAAATATTTATTATTCTAATTTTATATAACTTTTTTATTTACTATATTAGTTTTCTTAATATAATATATAAGTATAATATTGAACAGATAAAATAATAAATATTTTAATTATATAATATTTAATATGTAAGAATTGTAACTTAATTGATAAATTAATAGGTAATCTTGGGATAAAAATAATGAGTGATTTATGAAAAAAAAAATTATAGGAACTAAAAAGTTCACGTGTTTAATATATTTTTAATAGAAAAATTGTAAACACAATTACTCAATAAATACTACAAAAAAAATATAAGAAATCTTATATCCTCCCTACATGTAACTAAAAAACATAACTTTTCTCAATTCAACATAAGCAAATTAATGAAAATAATATATTTTTAAAAATTTTATGAACAAAAGTTGACTCGACAATATTATTAATGAATTTATAAATTGTAAATATTTAATTAAATTATTAATTAAAAAATTATAATTAAATATAATATAATATAGGATATACAAATATTTGATATATAATGAGGCAGATGATCGAAAAAAGTCTATACTTTATATTATGTGTTTTTTGACAAATATACAGTTAAGAACACGTGAAAGAACAAGATAAAGTTTTAAAAAAATATAAAATATAAGAAATAATATGAAAAATAACTAAGTTGTGACACATACTAATAAATATAAAAGAAACTAATAAACTAAAATAATATAATTAATATAACTAAATATAAACCTTCTAAAAATATACTTATCGATGTAATCGAACTGATTTGTTAAACGCTTGTTAGTTTTTTGTTCTAATTAATTTTCTGTGTA